ATTGATGATCCTCTGGATTTCTGCTGGGTCTGTTGTGACTTCACCTTTTTTGTTCTTAATTGCATGGATTTGAGTCTTTTCTTTCCTTTTTTTTTTGATAAGGTTGGCTAAAAGTATATCGATTTTATTTATTTTTTCAAAAAACCAACTCTTTGATTCATTAATTTTTTTTGTATTGTTCTCTTAAAGTCTCCATTGCATTGATTTCTGCTCGGATCTTTATAATTTCCTTTCTTGTATGAGCTTTGGGTTTGTTATGCTTTTCTTTCTCTAGGAGCTTGAAGTTCTGCATTAGGTTATTTAACTGAGTTCTCTCTGTTTTCCTAATATGGGCATTCACTGTTATGAATTTCCCACGTAGAACTGCTTTCATTGTGTCCCACAGATTCCTGTATGTTGTACTGACATTATCATTTATTTGTAGAAACTGTCTAATTTCTTCTTTAATTTCCTCTGTGACCCATTGGTTGTTCAGGAGGGTGTTATTCAATTTCCATCCATTTGTGGGAGTTTTGCAGTTTCTTATGTTATTGATGTCCAATTTTATTGCGCTATGGTCTGATAATATACAAGGGGTAACTTCAATTGTTTATATTTACTTAGACATGTCCTATGAGCTAGCATGTGATCTATTTTAGAGAATGACCTGTGTGCAGTTGAAAAGAATGTGTATTCTGATTTTGTGGGTGGAACACTCTGTAAACATCTATTAAGTCCATTTGTTCAGTAGCTTAGTTCAGTTCTAGAATTTCATTGTTATTTTTTTGTCTAGATGCTCTGTCTTTTTGTGATAGAGGAGTATTGAGGTCCCCCACTACAATTGTATTAGAGCTTATTTGGTTTTTCTTGTCCATTAATATTTGTTTTGTATAGTTGGGGGCATTTGTATTTGGTGCATATGTATTTAGGATTGTCATCTCTTCCTCTTGGATTGTTCCATTCACAAGGATGTAGTGACCATCTTTGTTTCTCTTAATTAGTTTTGGTTTGAAATCTACTTTGTCTGCAAATAAGATTGCTACCCCTGCTTTTTTCTGGATTCCTGTCACGTGAAGAACTGCTTTCCATTCTTTTACTTTCAGTCTATGGATTTCCTTTGGAGTTAGGTGTGTTTCTTGTATACAGCATATTGCTGCATTTTGTGAAGCACACATTTCTTGAAAGAAATTCAAAAACTTTGCTAATTGAGGGGTCTTTACATCAGACCCTTTACCTTTCAAATGTGCCATGAGCATTTTTGTATACAAATGTTGCTTGCAGGATCCTGATTGGCCCATGTTTTACACCTCGTGAATTTCCAATCTGCCTCATCCCTAACTTAGGCATGCACACCCTGAGGCCTTCCCTCATCTGAATATGCAACTTGTCTCTTATTCCAGTCCTGTACTCTGGTCTCATCTCTTGTTCTCATACTTCACCTCTTTGGGTGCCAACTGCCCAGATGAAGGGTCCGCAGAGGGAGAATGTTGGGGATGAATAAGTCAAAGAGATACAAAATCTGGGACCAGGTGGAACCTTTCTTCTGATGGGCGAAAAGGACTGCCAGGCAACTGCAGTGCATTTATTTATAGTGGTAGCTACGAGGGAAGTAAAAGGGACTGGTCTATAACTGGAGCCAGGAGAGTAGCTAAGGTTTGGAGATCATCGTGCTTTGATGGTTTTATGGGGAATGGACAGGGAGGAAGGCACGTCCTCTTATTGGCCAAGCCTCGCTCCACAATGCCCTCTAGTCACCTATTCTCCTTGTCCGCGGGAGGAGGTGAGTTAAGGCTGGCCATAGTGATCTACAGCGCAGTACTCCCAGGACCACATCCATCTAACTAACTCTCTTCTTTAAAAAAAAAATATATATGCAGCACTGCACCCAGCTCATTTCTCTCTCTCTCTCTCTCTCTCTCTCTCTCTCTCTCTCT